GGAGACCCAGAAGTCACCCTAGAGCCCGAGACCCAGGGACCCTAGAGCCGAGAAGGAGACCTAGAGCCGAGAAGGACCCAGGAAGTCGCCCGAGAAGAGACCCAGGAAGAGCCCGAAAGGAGACCCAGGAAGTCACCCAAGAGCCCGAGAAGGAGACCCAGGAAGTCCCCCAAGCCGAGAAGGAGACCCAGGAAGTCACCTAGAGCCCGAGAAGGAGACCCAGAAGTAGAGCCCGAGACCCAGGAAGTCACCCTAGAGCCGAGAAGGAGACCCAGGAAGTCACCCCCCGAGAAGGAGACCCAGGAAGTCGCCCTAGAGCCCGAGAAGGAGACCCAGGAAGTCACCCTAGAGCCCGAGAAGGAGACCCAGGAAGTCACCCTAGAGCCCGAGAAGGAGACCCAGGAACCCCCCGAGAAGGAGACCAGGAAGTCACCCAGAGCCCGAGAAGAGACCCAGGAAGTCACCTAGAGCCCCCCCGAGAAGGAGACCCAGGAAGTCACCCTAGAGCCCGAGAAGGAGACCAGGAAGTCACCCGACCCGAGAAGGAGACCAGGAAGTCACCCTTGAGCCCGAGAAGGAGACCCCAGGAAGTCACCCTTGAGCCCCCAGGAAGTCACCCTAGAGCCCGAGGAAGGATGATAATATCGATATCCAATGATAATAATACCGATAATGATAATGATAATATCGGACATATCGATATTTAATAATAATATACCGGTATAGAGAACAAGCGAGAGATAGAGAATAAAAGAGGAGATGAGAGAGAATAAAAAGGATAAGGGGAAAAGAGAGAATAAAAGAGGATGAAGGGAGAGAAGGAGGAGAAGGGAAGAGAGAGAATAAAAGAGGATGAAGGAAAGGAGAGAGATAAAAGGGATGAAGGGAAAGGAAGAGAATAAAAGAGGGATGAAGGGGAAAGGAGAGAATAAAAGAGGATGAAGGGAGAAGAGGATGAAGGGAAAGGAGAGAGAACAAGCGGGATGAGCAAGAGAAGGAGACACAGGAAGTCACCCTACAGCAAGAGGAGACCCAGAAAGTCACCCTAGAGCCCGAGAAGGAGACCCAGGAAGTCACCCTAGAGCCCAAGAAGTAGACACATATTATGTATATATATATATATATATATATATATATATAATATATATATATATATATATTGTGTGTGTGTGTGTGTGTGTGTGTGTATTGATATATATATATATATATATATATATATTATATATATTATATATATATATATATATATATGTATTATATATATATATATATATATATATATATATATATATATATATGTATATACATAGACGAGAAGCGAAATAGAATAAAATGAAAATACACTGTAACTGCAAGAGAGACAAGTGAACAAAACAGCAGATATAAATCACTGATGTTGATGTTAATGGCGATAGGGGAGATCTACCTGATAAGAATTACGAAAATTCCTGTCCACTTTTACTATGAAATTCAAAAACTGAAAATAAACGAAGTAAAAGTGATATATATATATATATCCCTTACTTAATCATGTACCAATCATTTTTTTTTTTTTTACCGCGTGATTTGTTCTTGTACCTACTTTGAAAGACTAACATAAATACCCTCTCTTGCATGCAACACGTGCCTATAGTATGCAACCCGGAGAAGAAGTATTGCAGCTGCAAGTCGCCATTAAAATTCTTGGAAAGGACTCTCCCCTTGATGCAAGACCGAGATGTCGTGTTTATATTTACCCATCCTGTTTGGCGTAATAGTATGCATTATTATCTCTTTTATGGGAGTTGCCATGGGAGAGGAATATCGTGTGCTTGTCATACGGGAAATTGAGGCTGTCGCGTGTGTTTGTCAGGGAGAAATGCCGGGTATTTTTAATGAGGTATCTACTGTCATGTTTGTTGTGATTGTAGTGTTTAGCGTGTGTGTGTGTGTGTGTGTGTGTGTGTGTGGTGTGTGTGTGTGTGTGTGTGTGTGTGTGTGTGTGTGTGTGTGTGTGTGTGTGTGTGTGTGTGTGTGTGTGTGTGTGTGTGTGTGTGTGTGTGTGGTATCATTACCCGGTGTTATTTTAAGATGGTAAAGTTTTTAGTGTGATGTGAATTATGGGATTGATAATCGACATTATTAAACCAAACCATCCGCACATCGTTTTATAATACCAGAAGCTCCTTCAACAGCTGTAAAGTATATATATATCTGATGTTTTAGTTAGCTGTTAAATTAACTTGATATATCGGTGATTAAGCCGGGGTTTTGTGTCGTTTGAAATTGCCAGAATCATACACACCAAACCACAAAAATGCATGAAGGAAAGTTATGATATTAGGAAACGAGCGACTCGGAGACCAGTGGTTCGGAGGCTCCAATCATCAACGGTTTCCCTGACCAGTAAGTCCTGGAGAGACAGAGAGAGAGAGAGGAGAGAGAAGAGAGAGAGAGAGAGAGAGAGAGAGAGAGAGAGAGAGAGAGAGAGAGAGAGAGAGAGAGAGAGAGAGAGAGAGGAGAGAGAGAGAGAGAGAGAGAGCTGACTGAATTGCTGAATTCTCCGACATCCTTATGCGTCTGAACCTTATGGCCAGCTTCAGACACATTGATTTTTCGCCGTCGGTTGAACACGTTAGGAAGACGTGCTTTCAAAAAATCAAATGGCATTGATGAGCACTTTCAACCTTGTCAGACAGGTAAAACCCGTTCACGGCCGCCGTCGCCAGTATGGTATCGTCCTTTTCCTTCTTTCTCTCTCCATTCCTCTTTCTTTGCCTCACTCTCGTTCGATCACTCTCGCGTACTCCCTTGTTCGCCAACTTCTTCTCCCTTCCATCCCCCTCTTTCTTTCTCCTTTTCCCTGTCTCTCGTTCTATATTGCACGCACGCACAAGTGTATGTATGTGTTCATACGCTCAAAGCTATTTCGATATCATAGCTAAGGATCTAGAACCCATTTCAGTTTCCACCGAAGTTAAGGCACACAGGCGGCCATCAGCTGTCTCCCAAGCGGTGGAGGATTCAGGATTCCCAGCGGAGACGGCGGACTCCTGAAAGCCGGTCTGTGCTCCGTGATGTCCTTCAGGCATCCTTTGCTGAATTCGAGCTTCTCTTTGTTTGCACTTTACCACTTTGCTCTTCTACCTCGCTGGTTCCCCTATAGAAAAGAGATTAACTGTATGAATTTGAAGGAATAAGAAATAAGATTTTAATTATTTGTGCGATCATGATGTAGCATCGTGGTAATCACAAATTTGCTCACTAAATGTATCAAGCAAAAAAAAAAATTTATATTCGGTAGAAGTCATTCACATCACCGGGATAGCTGTCAGTCACGTTTGTTTTCCTTTGCTTGTGTTCGGCCAATTGCAACGAAAACGAAATTAGTTCTGCTTTTAGTAAAAACTTTTTTCTCTCTCTCTTTACTAATTGGCTGATTTTGTTTGGCGTTTCCTTGTGAATTTGCGGATCCGTACATTTTAATTTTTTCCGTTATTAAGTTTGTGAAGATTTTCAGTGTAAAATACAAGGGTGCTTATAAGAAACGCTTACAATCTTTACCCATTGTGTAAACATCCCAATAATAGGATTCTTAATTTGTGTTTGAGTGTGTGTGTGCGTGTGTATTTCTCCCTATGGATCGCTGTACGTGTGTGTGTGTGCGTGTGTGTGCGTGTGCGTGTGTGTGTGGGTGTGGGTGTGGGTGTGGGTGTGGGTGTGGGTGGATGGGTGAAAGCGTTAGCGCGTGTGCGTGTGTCTGTGTGTATTTGTGTATATGTGCCAGTGTATCTGTGTATGTGTGCGTTCGTGTTATCATGTGCATATGCATAAGCAAGGTGGTCTTGGATGCTGCATCTCATCCTCTCCGCTCCCCCGCTCTGTCTGTGCCGGAGGACTGGATGCTGCCACATTTATTTTTTTCTTATTTTGTTTAATTTTCTCGTTTCTGCTGTCTATTTGCTTTACCACAGTTTTCCCTTTTTATTTTGGTTTGTTATGTTTGTTTTATTTATAGATTAATGAAAATATGTATTTAACTTGTTTCAGCGGTAAGGCCTTTCCTTTAGGATTAGTTCACAATTTTCAACATTTTCACCAGCTTACAAACCGTATGCTGGGGGGGGGGGGGAGTGGCCAAAAACTGGCTTTTCTAAACAGAAAAAAAAATCCATTGTTGAATGACCGTGAACATCAACATTTTCTTGTACACCTTTTGAGGGGGAAGGGGATATCCAAAAAGTGTGCTTTGTACACCTGTGAAAATGTTGAAAACTGAACCAACCCTTGTTCTTTTTTGTGGACCCTCAGCACATTCACTTTTACATTTTTTGTTTTTTCATTTAATGTTAGCATTGTTATACTGAACATCAGAAAAAAAAAATTACAACGCTGGAACTAACCCATAGAAAAGATTCAGTTTTCCACCCACGCTGCCACTTAAGGCAGTGGTTCCCAACCCCTTGGTCGCGACTCGAATGAGGGTCGCCAGAGGGTCTTAAAAGAAGAAAAAAGAATTCATAGCTGGATATGTCAGTAAAGGTTAATGTTTTTACTAACACTTTATTGAAATTCAATGTGTTGGTAATATAAGCTTATAAAAGTAAAGAATAACGTAAGCTAATATACAGCTGCAACTATAACTACCACGAAAATGGTTGGATATATACTACATGTTCACACGTTTAAGGCTGACTAGCCCAGGCTAAGACTGTCTTTAGGGTCACACCCGAAAAAGTTTGGGAAGCACTAACATAAGGCAATTTGAATTGACAGAGAGTAACAATGGCCTTTGAGCCTGTATCCCTCGCCAGCATCAAGGGAGGGCGAGCAATTCATGGATATTGACTTGATGAACTGAACCCTTGGGTTGACGGAGATCCCACTACATACACGTTTCTGTTTTTCACTCGTTTTTCTTCATATATTATCTGTCTGTGTGTATGTGTGCGGCTATGTACCGTGGGAATTCTACCTACCACTTTCTTATTTGAAAATAAAAGGCGCAAATGAAGGTACAA